ATTTATTTATTTATTTATTGGCCATTTTTATTTCTGCTTTAATTTTGTCAATTTCTGTCCTCCATAGGTTTGTACCTCCATCTGGTAGAATTTGTTGACCTGAGGCCCAACATGTGACAGATTTCCTGGCAGCTGAAACATCTCATCTGCCTCTCTCTGAAAAAATAAAAAATACATTTAAAAAAATTATGTTGAACAAAAACAGAAGCATGTTTCGAAAACTATTACAGAGAAGTAGATGTATTCATGGAAACTGCTACAAGAAAGAAAATAAATTGTTGCGATGTCTGAGAAACCTTGGCAGAAAAGCTCCCACCTGCTTCATTTTGAGCTCCTGGTTTTCTGTGTGGTAGCGTGTCACAGATTCCCTTTCGTTCTGCAGCTCCTGGTTCAGCTCAGAGTTTTCCAGGCATTTCTTGGCGTGCTGAGCCGACAACACCTCCAGCTCTTTGTGCAATAATTGAATCTGCTTCCTGTGATGACCCAGCAGCAGCAGCAGCAGCAGCAGCAGCAGCAGCAGCAGCAGCAGCAGCAGCATGGACCATGTTGCACAGTTAAGTGAGTTTTGGAGGAAATTGTATTAGAAAGAAGAGACAGGTATTTGATTAACATCCCATAATCAGAGAATCATGAGCCACATAATGAGAGACCGGGGAGAACTACTTCTCCAGGACAAATTATAAGCTATGGAGATTAATTTCAATATGAACAAATGGCTGAAATGTTCCATCTCAATTAAAGGCAGCAAATATAATGAAAAAGCAAAAACAAAGTGGGCTAAAAACTATATATTGMTCAGCACTAAACATGAAACTGAGATCATGTTTTGATCAAGTTTTTTTGAGTCTGAGTGTGTCTCTGTCTGTTAGCAAAATATTTCATGAGCCAGTGGATGAATTAAGTTGAATTTCTTAGAAGGATGTAATTGGATGTACCTCTACAACTCATTAACTTTTGGAGTCAAAATAATTCAAGATGGCTGCCACAGCTGAGCAACTTTAGCAAACGATATATTGGCTACAACTCAGTCAAATTTATTAATTTTACATCTAACACACAAAGCTCTCAACAACCAAGCTCCAGCTTAYATTAAAGGTCTTATTGTTCCATATTTTTCTAACAGAGCACTTCGCTCTCAGACTGCTGTGGTTCACACTAACTGATCTCACAAGATTGCATAAACTCGCACATGCAAGGTTTAACAAAAACTCCTTTTCACATCATCAGATGATTTTAGTGAGAGATATATACTTTTGTTTGAGTATTGTTAGATCATTAATTACAGGTCTTTGGTAACTCACTCATATTCTGTGTGGATTTCGGTGATGTCAGCACTCTCCCTGATATGTTGTGTTTGTTTACTTCTCTCCAGCTCTTTTTTATGAGCTCTCCTCATCGCAACAATTGCTTTAAAACAAATAAAAATCACAGTTATTTAGCGTTTTAGAATGAATACAGTTTAACTAACTTGTCTAAAATGGACAAATAGAGCCTTTACAAACCTGCCATTGTTGCAGCCGTCTCCTCCTGCAGGAGYTGATCTTTGTCCTTCAGAAGTTCAGCCACCTGCTCCTGATGCTGCTGCTGCAGGTCTTTGATGATCTTCCTGTGCATTTCTTCCATAGCAGCAAACCCTTGATCACAAGATGCCTGTTTTAAAAAAGAAGAAAGATTTATTTGTTGTTGYTGTTCTTTTAAACTATGCATGATTGGAGAATAAGGAGATGGTTTCAGAACTCTTGTACATTCAAGTATAGATTTATTTTTCCTTTCTTTTTGTTGTAACTTGCTTTTTCAGACTCTGCTTCCAAACTTGTGGTTAATTTTCAGTTATAAAAACAACATGTTCCAATATCTTATATATAGTTTATCTGAGGCCTAACTTTAAGACTTAATAAAACAAGATTATATTTAATGTCCTAATATATGAAACTTAATTATTTAAGAAGATATACTGGATTTATAATAATTTTTACCACGAGTGGTCTTTATTGCAGTTTATTTTATTTTACATCTATTAATCTGTTTTTAAGTAGCCTGGTAAAAACCAGACCTTTGTCCTTCAATTTACTTCATATGAGGGTCTGGACTCGCTGCTTTAGAGAAGCGATTCTTGCTGGAGGCGTGGCCTCTGCTGAAGCGTGTGTGTGTGTGTGTGTGTGTGTGTGTGTGTGTGTGTGTGTGTGTGTGTGTGTGTGTGTGTGTGTGTGTGTGT